CTTTTGGGAAATCAAGGCTATGTGAAATTCAATGGAAACGTCAGCTCAACTCATATCATTGTGGGAAAATCTGACTACCGGTCCTTCATCACCTTAAACGAAATAGGGTGAATACATCTAAATAGAATCTAGCCTAATAGGTGTATCCACCCTATTCCATTTTAGGCAATCAACGATTAATAAGTGAATTTTGTCACAATCATTTACGATGAATTTCATATAGCCCTGCCTCCAAAATGTATTCTCCTTCGGATAGGAGTAGACTGCAGTTTCGACATCGCCTGAATCGGCTTCATCAGCACCCCAGCTTGTCTCCAATCATGATGGTACGGCATATACTGCAGACACACACAGCACTACGCAACACTACCACGAGTGCCTTTGTGCCACAAGGTAGATGTGGATTTCAAGCAATGCCCGGCCTTTTCCCATATCACATTCCGTGGTGGGATTGTCAATGAAGTTAAGTTGATTTGCCATAGCTATCGACTGCATTGCTTATTTCACGTTTTAGATGTAGATTTTCGAGAGTACCAGTGGATCTGATAAAGGAGCTCAATTCTCCCTATTACACAAATTTGTTTAAATATGAAGTTTATTCACTCTATTTCGTCACGAAAGCCTACTTATAAACGAGAAAAATTTGCTTCATCGACAATCCTATCAGAGAATGTGATTCGTCTTGGCCTTCCATGAAAATCACATCTTCCATGTGACCCAAGGCCACTCGTGGCAGCCTGACGAAGTGGTTAAACTGTTTAGATTATAATCTGTACTATCATGCTTCAAGTGCCTCTGAGGTGCTGCTGAGATCAGCTGTGACGAGGTGGAAACGGCAGTCCACTCGTGCCGAGATGAGAATACCTTTTGGGAAGCAGGACTTTGTGAAATTCACTGGAAACCTAAGGCCTTCTAACATCATTATGGGAAAATTCAAATACCACTTCTTCATCGTCTTAAATGGAATATAGTGACCTTATATCAGATCAACGGGTAATCTCGAAAAGCCAACTTATGAAACAACTTTACTTCATGGACGATCTCGCCACAGACAGCTACATGGGAAAGGCCTGACCTTTCATGAAATTCACTTTTGCTCTGTAGACCAAGGACAATTGTGGCAATGGGGCGTTGTGGCTATCGTGTTGGGACTATTTTTTTGCACTACCAAAACGCTGTTTCGACTCCAGCAGGAATGGTGATGATGTCAGTTCAGGCGAGATCACAAATGAAGTCCACTCTTGTCGGGATAAAAATATCTTTTGGAAAGTAAGGTCATATAGAATGCAAAGTAATATACAGCCTACGCATTTGGTTGTGACAACGTGTTAAGCCCAAGATTTTGTGACTTATTCACTATGGCGACAGTCTCCTTTCTTATGTATAAAGGCAGCTGAAACTGGTTTTCGCAACTTAATCGTGTTTCCAGGGCGACCTAGATGAATGCAGATTTTCCGAGACCCCTTGCTATAGGAGGTATGATAATTTCCAACGTCGGTACGTGGACTTGTCTCATCGCCAGACGCTACGCCGGTGTCATAGTCGGCATTATCGTTAAGTCTATGAACGAAGGACGTACTAGAGAGGGAGGAGAGATAACACATGTCTTCAGTAAAAATTTGATAAAGAGCTTAATTTCACTTGTATCTTTGACAAGTTGTAGTGTAGTGCTAAAACTAGTTAGGCTCATCGAAAATGTGTCAAATCCACTTCGACAGGGGATCTTGACAATTTCGTTAATCTAGGTTGCCATAGCAACACGATCTTGTTGCGAAAATGAGGTCAAATCACTTCAATAATTGTGGACAAACTCATATGTCAGTCCTTCCACACCCTATGCTGCCTAGGCTGACACTTTTTGGCAGTGATCATCTCAGAGTAAGCATAAGTCCAAGCATTATTGCAGACCAGAATTGGAAGAAATAAGGCCAATCAGGGTCTCCATGTAGCCCGACTCCCCTCGGCACATACCAGAATGGTTGTATGCGGGGTCACCGACGATGATGGCACATCTGACGACTGCCTCGTCGTCAGGCTGAATGGTCCCTTCGTCTGGCTCTGTTTTCCATTGCGCCCTCCTGCCTTCAGGAGCGTCATGAGGCCCGGCGTCCGTCGTGGAGCTCGTGTAATCGTCAAAAGGTGCCGACATTTCTACGATCAGATGAAGCTCCGCTTCTTCAGGCACCCCTTTTGCGTCTTCTCGCCCTACCAACGAGATGGCGAGATCGTTTTCACTTGGTCCCGTCGAGTCGCCGTCGCCACTCGGCTGCCCCAGCCTCGAGTTCGGTCTCGGCCTGAGATGACGCGACGTGCCGTCGAGCCCGGCCACGGGTTCAGCTTGTGCCCACGACGGAGTCGTCTCGCGACCAGCCGCCTCCGCCAGTCGACGCAACATGTTCAGCCGGCCCCTGGACACTCGAGCATCGGACGGCGGCTTCACGGGCAACACCAACTCGAGGCAGCGCTGGTGATTCGGCAGATGGAGACTGTCAAGCCAACCTCGGGCATAACCAACAATCCGGCTCTTCACAGCTTTACTTGTCTCCTTTGCTCGACTCGCGGCCTCTTCAGAACTGGCCGTCTCCCTGGCCGCATCTGGTGACGCCCGAACCGTTTCCCGAGGTTCACTTGAGCCGGACGCCTCTTTTTTCGTTTCCTCCTCCTCCCTCTCCTTCTCCTCCTCCTTCTCCTTCTCCTTCTCCTCCTTCTCCTTCTCCTCCTTTTCCTTCTCCTTCTTCTCCTCCTTCTCCTCCTCCTTCTCCTCCTTCTCCTCCTTCTCCTCCTCCTTCTCCTCCTTCTCCTCCTTCTCCTTCTTCTTTTCCTTTTTCTTTTCCTTCTCCTTTTCTTTCTCCTCCATCTCCTTCTCGCCTTC